GTGTGGGGAGAGGAAGGCGCCTGGGCCATGTAGGCCCCATAGGTAAGTGGTACCAGCCACTCTGTGGCCAAATCATGCTTATCTCAGGGTAAAGAGCTTGTGTTCTCGCAACTTTGGCCATCTTGCTGTTACTACGTTGCAACATAGAAGACTTCTTTGGGTCTATTCCGAGGGGGAGTTCTATTGGCGGCGTGGAGCATTTGCTGGCAGATGCACAGCAGTGGAAAACCCCCCTCTCCCCTTCCCGAATCCCTTGAGAAGAGGAAGGAGCGGAGATGTTTGTGTGCAACAATGCGCAGCATTAGGGGAAAAGCCATTTGGGTGTTTGTCCAATGTGCAGAGGGTCTTGTCCTCCCTCCCTCCGGTTAAGTGAGTGTTGGAGGCCCATGGGGGAAAATGTTACATTTTTTGTCAGATTAAAAGTGGTTCCCAATGGATCTAAAAGAAGATGAAAATGAGTGCATTGAGGCCTCCTGGCTAAAGTGAGAAGGCGAATGCTGTGTGCGTGAATCTGGACACCTCTCTGCGTGGTGCCCAGGAGAGGGTCGGTCTCACAGTCCCCAGCTGCGGGGAAGGGCAATGGCCATGAGTGAACGGAAGTGCCCAGGATTCCCAGAGCCCTTTGATAGCCTGCAGACCTTCAACACTGGCCTCTGTGTGCAAATTGCTGATAATTAGATTTGTCTCTGTCACTTTCCAGGCTGCAGGCTGGTCGGGGAGGGGAGGGCTCAGCACTGGTGCATTCCTTCAGTGTTGGAAGGAAGCACTGAGCCAATCCTCCTTAACTCTAACTGCCCAAGGAATCCGAGGAAGGGGTGCCCGACACCAGCACACGTGTACTGTTAAGCCAACGCATTTCCTTAATGGTGGTCTTTGTTTCCCCTGGGTTTTGAAAACGCTCTTTGCAAAACCGTAACTGCCTTTCTTTGAAGTAATGTAGCGAAGAGTTGTGTATTTTCTCACGTCTGGCCATAGAGGAGGCAGAGTGAGCTCTTTGACAAAGAGACCCAAGGAGGGGTGGAAATCGGTGAGGAGAGTTAGGGGTTTTCTTCAGGCAAATGTCTTTCCATCTTACTCCCTCTTGAACTTTGTACCACAAAGGCCGTGAGTCCTAGTGGGCTCCCATGCCTGGGTCTTAGTAGCTACTAATAGTATTACCAGTACTAGTCTTACTAATGCTAAGAGTAGTTCTAATTACTAGCTGTATTTAGTAGTCGCTGGTAGGCATGATACCTATTTTGAGATAGAAAAATGGCGGATGCTAGGAAAATAGGGTTTCATTCAGACATGTCTGAGGATCTCTTACCGAAAACCAGCAGTGGGAGCTCATGCCAGACGTTGGTGAGCCGGTAGACCAAGAACGGTGTGATAATGCCACCGATGTCACACATGGAGGAGCAGACAAGGACACCGAGATTCCTGAAATGCAGGAAACGGATTGAACTTTTAGCTTCTCACCGGATGGTAGTTATCCCCCACTGCCTCCACGTAAATACTTCCCTACATCACTAAAATGTCTGTGAACTGGAAAAAAACCAAAAGGTTCACATTATTTTCAACACACACAAATGGTGTGATACACAGTTCCATCCCTATTCTGTTGTGCTTATTTCATGTTAGCTTTTTTGAAGATTTTTAATGGGGGGGGGGAGGTGATTTTACTCTTATCACCTGTCTTCTCTACGCTGTTCTGTGGTCCTGTGTGTGCTGTTTCTGACCACGCTCTCCTAGGGCCATTTGGTCATTGCTCTCTTGCAGTCAATACACTGTATTTCACCCTAGCCGTAAGTGTGAGATGTGGCCTCGTTACTGCCTTCACATGTTCTAATCTTCTCTTACCCGTGTTTTGGAAAGGAAGGCGTCCTCTGAAAAGGTGTCCCCCTCTGGCACTTGTGCTAGGTCTAGCCAACAATCAAATGTCCCGACCACCCTCTTCACGTTGAGGAAAGCATGCTAACCTGATGAATGTGGGGTACAGTTCCGCGTTGACCAGGCAAACCATTTCGTAAGCCATCGTAATCCCCATCCTACCCAAGCACGCGACTGTAACTCTTAGCCACTGCAGATCTGAGGGGGAGAACACACACCAGTTACACACACAGCACTGGGTAATGGTCTCCAAACCCTGGTCTGCAAACAGTGCTCCAGAGGCATGCAAAGGGAAAGTCCACATTCCAGAATGGATTGAGAATGCAAAATGCTTCTTCTATAGACTCCAAGTCTTGAGCAAGATTCCCCACATCTGTTAGTTTTAACTTGGACACAGTTCTAACAGTCTCTTTAGACCCCAGTCATTAATGATGACAGAATTATACCAGTTTTCAAAGCTGGGCCAACTCTAGTCTATAGAGGTCGCCCACAAGGAACAGTAAAATATGGAAATATTTTAAGTAATTGCTAATAACTGAAGGATGCAAACAAAGCTCCTAGTTGCTAAGAGGATTCTATCGTATAGCTTCTTACTCTCCTTCGTTGAGAACGCATTTTAAAAAGAAGGAAAGGAACTGAATAAGTGTTCATTTGTTGCATTTACCTAAACTTCCTTATTTGTTCTGCAGAATGATGCAGGGAGGCCAAGGGAGTTGTCTGGATAGTGTCTGGGAAACACTAAAATAAGACTTTAACCCTGGGCCTGCTCTACCCCTGCAAAGCCCATGCTTTCTTTTCTGGGCCAGGCCAATGGTCTGTAGCATGAGTCCCCTTAGCCTTTCTTGTTCTAGTACATTAGAGAACAATCAAGTGTGATTGTATTATGTCAGGCAACCTTTGGGTACAATTGTTCTTAAAGACAGGGTGGCTATATGGTTTGCTCAGAGAGGTCCCAGATACTGTGTTCACTCTTTCCAAATTGATTTGGATGACAAATTACATAGTCCTACTCTCAGAGGGCTATGACCTCCCTCTTCTCAGGGCCTTAGAAGACAAGACCCCAGCTTGGCCTGACACTTACCATCAGGGATAAAAACCGAGGCTAGGCAGGCTACCCCTGCCACCATATTTGATGCAGCCCATGGATAGCGGCGACCTAAACGGTCAATGGTGAGGATGATGAGGAGGGCAGCTGGAAACTCCACCAGGGCAGAGTAGAAGAAATCCAAGTAGAAATTGCTCCCTGCAAGGCCCATGTGCATGATGAGGCCCTGGTAGAGAACAGAGCTCGTGAACCTGAGCAAAGAGGAGAGCTCAGGTCAAGCCAAGCACCAAAAGCAAATCATCGAGAAGGAGCAGCTTCTGGAAATGAGAGTGGTTTGTGGGTCACCTTTCTTTGTCATCTTAGTGCTATTCCCTCTCTTCCACTGCTTTTGCATCATCTGACCCACTGTGGTGGCTGGTTGTGAGCCCAGAACCAGGAAAGCAGAAGAAATTAAGATAACATTCCCTGGCCAAACTGAAAGGCAAGAAGAAATTTCTTTCTAGAGTGATTTATTTGGTAAAAGTGTATCAGTTTATTAGTGGCTGTTAATTATTATCTCTTTGTGGTTTTCTGATGGAATCGGGATTAAAAGGCTTGGCTACTTAATTCAAATTTTAGGAGACCAGAGACCCAAATGGGTACCAAATTCCCAAATGGATACGGCCTCACTTCTTGAGGATTTCTCTTCTGACACCATCCAGATTGCATTTTGACGTTGTTTTTTTTGCTTTGTTTTGTCGACTGAAAGTGTTTGTTATCTGTAATGGAAACTAGGAAGACCCCTGGCAAGAGCCACAATTATTCAGAAAAGGAAAGAAGGCTAACGAAGCCACATTTCACTGCTTCGTGTTA